GAAGATGTCTACCTTTTGGATAGTTGAACAATGTTGGTACTATTTTGGCATTATTTTGTCTTGCATTTTTTTATTTTTCCCCTTTTTTGCTGGTGAACTTCAATGAAGGTTGATGTTGCTTTTTTTGGATATTTTATTTCCATTAGGTTAACCTATTTAAATGAACTTTTTCGGATAAACAGTACGTAAACCTCGTCAGTTTTTTTATGCCCACCGTTTATTTGGTATATATATATACACATAATATAAACATTACATACCCAGATTTTTTTTAATGCACACACACCGTTTATTGTGCTTATATATACACATAAGATAAACAGTACATAAACAGATATTGTAATGCACACACATCATCTATTGTGCATATATACACATAAGATAAACACTACATCAACAATTTGATTTTTTAATATATGTAAACCTTTTTTTTATGCACACACCGTTTATTTTGTACATAATTACACATAAAATACACATTACATAAATAGATTTTTTAAATGCACACAAACCGTTTATTGTGCTTATATATACAATACGATAAACAGTACATAAACAGATATAGTAATGCACACACATCATCTATTGTGCATATATCCACATAAGATAAACAATACATAAACAATTTGATTTTTTAATATATATAAACCTTTTTTTATGCACACACACCGTTTATTTTGTACATATATACACATAAAATACACATTACATAAATAGATTTTTTTAAATGCACACAAACCGTTTATTGTGCTTATATATACAATACGATAAACAGTACATAAACAGATATAGTAATGCACACACATCATCTATTGTGCATATATACACATAAGATAAACATTTCATAAACAATTTCTTTTATTTAAATGCACACACCAATCTAAAAATTAACCCATACCACAAATGAAACACCAAGCAAACACAATAATCTAATTTTGTTTAACTCTCTTCGGATTTGAACATGTCTTTAGATTATGCCCTTTCTCACCACATTTGCTGCACCTGTTTTTTACCCGAGACTCCCATCCCGGTTTGAGTCTTTGCTGTCGCCGACGTACGGGCCTCACTCTTCCAGTAGGTGGATTGATATTTCCAATGCCATCAGAATCAACGGGTCAGCATTTTTGGCTTGCCTCAATAGGCAAAACTGGCTCTGCATACGTAGCTAGCATCGTATCCGTTAAGTAATGGATTGAACAAAATGTAACTGGATCCAAATGAAGGGCTCTAATTACTCGGATAGCATGTGGACAAGGCAATTCATCCATCTGGAAACGATTGCATGTGCAAGACTTCGTCTCCAAATCTACTACAAATCCACTTCTGTCGGATGACACCTTAAACACTTTGTCGCTTGCCTTTTGTATCTAAAAGAAAAAAAAAAAATTGAAGCAAGTTTTCGAATGATACATCGGGTACTAAATGGTATGTATACATATTTATATATAAGTGTGTATATATATACATCATGTTATATAATTTAATGTGTCTCACCGAAAAGCTGGCAGCTACTTTATAATTGTTTTCGAGCATCTTGTGAGCCTTCTTTGCTAACGTGGTAAACGTCGATGCTGCTTCATCTCTATTAGCAACATTCCACTTTTGTTGTAAAAGATCTCAATGACTCCAAAAGTGTTGTTATTGGTAAGTCACGTATCTCCCTCGCGGCTGAGTTAATTGCTTCTGCCGCATTGGACGTCATCGTAAAATACCTGTTTCTTGGACAATGAATCCTTGCCCATTTTTGTATTCCAATTTTCTCCAGCCACGGGGGTACTCGAGGATCAAGTTGATTTATCTCCGCCATATGATGATTATACTCATCAATCGTGTATGCCCTCGCAGCTGCATTAAAGGCATCCTTAACAGCGCTTGGTTCCTTCTTGAAGTGTGTCCGCAAGTTGTTCGATAAATGATAGGCACATAAACAGTGTGCAGCCTCTGGATATACCTGCATTATAACTGAAATGTATTTAAATGACTTAACAGTAACATTACAACATATGAGTTTGTTTACTTACTGTATATTTTACGCATATATATCTACGATATCATAGGTATACCTTTGCAACTGCATGTTTTATACTTTCATGTCTATCAGAGACAATGCATAAACCTTCCCGGAAAGTCAGTGCTTCCCTCAACTTTGTAAAGAACCATGTGTACGAATCATTATTCTTAGAATCAACAATACAGAATGCCAATGGAAGTATATGGGAGTTGGCATCTTGACAAC